ACATTTAAAGATCATCAAGGCTCAGTCTCTTGCTAGGTGGCTTACCTTAGCAAAACTACTTAACTTTCCCATGCCTCAGTTGTCTCATTTCTAAAATGGGAATACAATTTTTCCATAAATCCTGGCTCTAGTCATGTGACCCTGGGTCACACTTGTCTTCTCTGTGCCTCAGCTTCCTCATCTCTGAAATAGCGATAAAAGTATCTGCCTCAAAAGGCTGTCAAGAGGTTTAAATGGGTTAAAACTACAATACATTTTATATGGTATGTATTTCCCACAGCACATTTCAGTTTGGCCTACCCACATTTCCAGTGCTTTCTAGTCACATGAATTTAGTGGCTACCATATTGGAAAGCACAAATATAGAAAATATTAGGTGCTCAGTAAATATGATTTTTTAGAATATTGATATAAGAATAAAGAGGACTTTCAGACTCCCAGGACTGCAAAACAATATTTTACATAGTCTAACATCTCTTGTTTTTTGGTTTTTTTTTACATTTGGACATCTCTAAAAACAGGACTAATTCTATAATCAATGTCATGTGACAGTTTTAATGGCAGCATTCTTTCATAGTGGTTCGTAAGATAATGATGCATCTTACAACTGATGGCATCTTAGAGTTGATGAAATGCTGTGTATCAAGTTCCTAGTGCCTGCCATAAATTATTATCTCTTCTTCATATTCGTATTCCCAATACTAGTTCAATACCTGGCATAGTATGTACAAGGCATGATTGAAAAATACAGTGAATGTTTAAATTTTAAAAATTTATTACAGTAAAAGACACATTGCCATTAATCACCCTCAAAATAGTCCCCCTCACTTGGAACATACTTATCCCATCGTTCTTGCCACTTTCTGAAACAGTTCTGGAAGTCCTCTTTCATGGGTGTCTAGTTGCGCTGTCGTGGCTGCCTCAATGTCCTCAATCGATTAAAACAACTTTCATGGTTATTTTGACTTTGGGGAAGAGCCAGAAGTAGCACAGTGCCAGGTCTGGTGAATAAGGTGGATGAGGGCACACTGCAATGTTTCTATTTGACAGAAATTGCTGTATACCAGAAGCGATGTGTAACACGGAGCCTTTCCATTGTAATATGGTTAATGCTGCTGCCAAGTGCCATCCAAAGGAAAGGCATGAATCTTCAAGACAAGAAGTGGTGCACTGAACCTTAGAAACAGTGTGTGACAAGTTTCAGCTTGTTTGGTGCAGTCAGTTGGGTGTGAGCTATGGTTGAGAGAACGTGTGTTTTTGAAATGTGCCATAAATAATCCTCCATCGTGACAACACTCCGTGCCATACATTGCTTCTGGTATACGGCAATTTCGGTCAAATAAAAACATAACAGTGGAGGGGCCGGCCGAGTGGCGCATTTCACTGGTTAAGAGCTGGCTTGGGACGCCAGAGGGCCCTGGTTCGGATCCCACGTATGAGGGCCAGGGACACTGCCCTCTACAGCAAAGATGCTGAACAGCAGCTCGACCTGGAGCTGGGCTGCTGTGAGTCGCCGGCGACGGGTAGGATGCAGCCCCTGCTGCAGGGGTTGCCATGGGCTACCATATGTAGCCAGCGGCCAGCGTGAGAGGCCAGCAACCAGCGTGAGCGGCCAGCAGCCGCAGTGAGCGGCCATCCAGAGGCCTCGCCTGGGAAGAGCGTAATGGTGGTGCCAACTTGTGCCCGTGAAGCAACGTCCTCCACAACTAGACTGAAGAACAAAAGGACAGCAACTTGTCTGTTCCCCTTCCCCCAATTCCCCAGCGCTGTTCCCCTCCCCCAATACCCCAATAAAACAACAACAAAAAAAAAAACATTACAGTGTGTCCTCATCCACTTTATTACTGGATCTGGCACCATGTGACTTTTGGCTCTTTCCCAAAGTCAAAATGATTCAGGACATCGAGGCAGCTACGATGTCTTTAACACGAAAGATGACTTCCAGAACTGCTTCAGAAAGTGGCAAAAACGTTGGGATAAGTGTGTTCCACGCAAGGGGGAGTACTTTGGGGGGGGTTAATGGCAATGCGTCTTTTACTGTAATCATTTTTTTAATTTAAACTTTCACCATATTCTTTGATCACACCTCATAGTTAATAAATGGTCATTGAGTGAATTTCTACAGGATGCCTTGTAACCTCAAACTCGAAACATCTAAATCTTATTATAGTCCTTCCAAAACGACCTCCTTCTCACAAATTTCCTTTTACTGTCAAAGCTACCATCATTCTGAGTCATAAAGACTTACAAATTCAAATCTGTATTTCCTGACCCTTTCCTTAATCCAATTAAGTACCAGGTCATGTCAATTCTTCCTTTACAATTTCCCCTAAAATTTGTACTTTCAATTTTTCATTGCCAGTGCCACCACCTTGGTCTAGGACAGTGATCATCAAACATTTTGGTCTCAGGACCCTCTACATTCTTAAAAATTGGAGAATCCTAAAAAAGCTTTCATTTATCTGGATTACATTTTTCAATATTTACCATATTAGAAAATTTGAAATGTTTATTCTTTCATTAAAAATAACAATCTTATTACATGCTATAATAAATGGCATATTTTATGAAAAATAACTATATTCTCCAAATGAAAAAAAATGACAGTTTTACAATTCTACAAGTCTCTTTAATGTTTCTGACTTAATAGAATTGAGTTGGATCCTCTGCTTCTTCATTAAACATGTTAAGATATGTTGTTTTGATTGAATTACATGCAGAAAACCTAGCCTCACACAAATATTCAGTTGCAAAGAAAGGAACATTTTAACAGCCTTTCCAAAAAAATTGTGGATATTAGTCTTTGATACTACACCAAATCTTGATTAAGTAATCGCCTATTAAGGGTTAGCTGCAATGTGGAAGATGAAACCTTACCAATGAACTCTCTTTGTACTCTGTTCCATTAAAATTCATTGATGTATCTTACACTTTGAATGGATCTTTTACCCATTTTATAACATCATACTTGGTCATCTGGAAACTATCAGTTCACTGAGTTATATCAAGCTTCCAAATATTGACACATTTTATTATACAATATCTAAAAATCACATTCATTAATACTGCTACTACCAATTTCATCAGGAAAGTCTGTATGTATTGAGAGGCTGTCAAGTTCACAGTGGCAGATAAAAATTTTCCAAACTTGTAATTTTTCCTTGAAAGTTCAAATTTTATCATTGGCAACAAATCAGTTGTTTTCTTGGAAATGACAGGCTCACTTTGTTCATTTTCGAAAAACTGTCTGCCAAATATCCAAGTCTGAATAACCATAGTTTATATGTCAGTCATTCTTTCAAGTAAAAATGGTATTCCATGAAAAAAAGCAGATAGTTTAGCTTGTAACTCAATCAAACAAGTGCTTTCCCTCAGGACAAGTATTGTACTTTAGTATGCAGAAGAGATTTATTTTGTATTTCCCATCTCATCACACAGAATATTAAAGACATGGCTCAAAGGTTGAAATTTAATAAAATGAATTAATACTTATTGCTCCATTTGGGACAGTCTTAAGTGAAACTAGCATTTTTGTTTTTCATTGCAACGAAGAATACAATGACCACTAGCAGTTTAGCTCCACTGCCCTGACTTGTGCTAAGACACCAGCAGCCACTGCTTTAGCACCATCAGTACAAATGTCCACACAGTGAAAATAGCAGATAACATCTTGATATTGCTATAAAAATAATTTTGACCTCTCAGACCTCCTGAAAGGATCTCAGGGAGCCTCAAGGGGGGGTCCACAGATCATATTTGAGAATTGCCAGTCTGGGATTTCATCATACTACACCTGGACTATCATATTAGTCTCCTAACTAGTCTTCCTGACTCTAGCCTCCCTCTTAGTTCATATTGTCTGGCACTACTAGGTACAACTTCCTACAATGATGCTTTCAACATGTTCTGCCCAACCTTTTACAAGTATTTCCCCACTGGATAGAGGGTAAAGTTCAGTTCCTCAGCATCACATTCAAAGACCTCTACAAACTTTCCTCATGCATCTTTTTCAGCCTTACCACGCACCAAAGCCTGACACCAACTACAAGTCAGTCTATTTAAGGTCTCCTGAAACATAATTTACACACTGCACAACTTTGCTTGAAATAGTCCTGTCATGTCAAACATCATTTCCTTTTATCAAATCTCAAATCCTATTCAACTGTCAAGGCCAGCTCAATGTCCACATACTTTATGATGCTTTTTCTAATCACTCTAGCCTCCTCTTCCTTCCTGGAAATATTACAGCAATTATTATCCTCACATTATCATATACTCTCTTTGACAATTTAACTTTAAGTGCTTTCCTTAATCTCCTAACTGGATTACAAATCCCTGGAACATGGAAAGTTTATCTCTGATAAACTTCGAATCTTCTACAGTGCCTAGTACAATGCAACAAACACAGTGGAAACGTCAGTTTTTAAAAATGAAATCAATGAATGAATTCCCTTTCGCAAAAGGCAAGAGGAATTCAGATGGATGAATACTTCACCTGGTCTGTGAAGTACAGTTATTGATTTCTTAGTTATTAATGTTTTAAATGGGAATAACTATGCTATTGAATCAAAAGCAGTCCATCGGGATCTGATGAAAAGCAATCCTCTCGTTCTCATTAATTCTGATGAGAATTTTGCAGTGTTAATCAAGAAAATGTAGAATAAGTGACCCAAAGGACCCTGTGGAAGTGGTTTAAAAGGGAAGAGATGGCAATCACTGCTCTAGATGAGCAAAGAAACTCCAAGGTAGAGTTATTCCTATCTGTAATATTTTATCTCCTTGAAAGAAGATATAAAGCAAATGTGGTAAAAATTTTATATTTGTTAATCTGATACAGGTGCATGGGTGTTCATGTTATTCTTTATACTTTTCTACATGTTTGATATATTTTACAGTAAGGAAGAAAAAACACATTGTGTGGCACTCTGAAGCACATGGTGCGTCAACATTCAAGCACATATCATTTGATTGATGCAAAATGCTGTCCCATTTTTACCTACCAGTCCATCATCTTGCAATGAAGCAAAAAAGAAGCCATAGAGCAAGTTAATTTTCTCCTTGTGATCAATGAAGTCAAACACTGCAACCAGCCAACGATAAAAAAGTACCTATTGAGAGACAAAATGCTGATCTTTAGAGAAGTATACCTGGCACACAAGAACTTAATTCCCCCCTCAGGGCTGTTTTAGAAGCCTCTCGCACAAAGCAGGATAATAGATTTTAACTCTCAGTACAAATTTCTGTTTGAACAGAGTCCCTGCATCAGACTACACTGTTCCAAAATTATAGGTTTTGCACAAAAGGCCAGTGTCATTATTCCATAAGTGGCTCTTCCTTGCCAGCCCTTAAGTGGTTCTGAAGGACTTATCATCAAAGTGTTTAAAAAGATTACCTTGGTGCTACCACAACACTTGCCAACACAAAGCCAGGAGACTGCCTTAACCACAGAATCTTCTGATATTACAGTTGCTGGAATCATGTACTTCAGTATCCGAGAGTTTACAGCACTTCCTGGAAAGCAGACAAACTCTAAATTAAACTATATTTTATTATCTTCATAGTTTCCTTACTATTATTCATTCTTGGTCCTAAAACTCTCACTTTATATTGAAGACAATAAAAAGAGTAATATTTGACATCTCTTATCATCATTACAAAACAGAGTTTGAAAGAAACATGTACCTTTAACTTCTAATATAAACTATAAAGCAATGTCTTTGGCTCTAATATTTCTATTTAAAAAGGGAGGATGAGTACAGGGTCTCTTTTGGGGGTGATGAAATGTTTGGGAACTAGATAGTGGTGATGGTTGCACAACTCTGTGAATGTTTTTTTTTTCTTTAATCTGAATTGTACACTTCATAGGGGTTAATTTTATGGCACGTGAATTATACCTCAAAAAAAAAAGTCTTTTACTCACAGGAAATTTTCAAGGATTATTTTGTTATTATTTTTAATGGTATAGTAGATTCTGATGTATTTAAAGCTACTGATAGACATCTTGCATGAGCAGCTACATTTAAGAATAAATAAATATATTTGTATTCTCCAATACCCCCAAAAGTGGGGAGAACAGCAGAATGGAACAGCTATTCTTGGAATCAGCTGGCAGTAATATTCTACACTGGTCCAATTTTTCCATCATATTCTCTGGCTTCCATGGTATTCTCCCATCTGTTAAGAGAAGAGATGTTGCAAATAGCTTTGTATACACCCTGTATCAACTACTGCTTTTAAGTTTCAAAAGTTAAATATGTATCTCATTAATTTTTTTTGTATTTAAATATTGCTTTATTTGCATTCTGGTGTGATTATCACAAGCATTCACTGAAAAAAAAAAAACCACTGTTCTCAACTTCTCATGCAAGCAGAATTCTCAAAAACATCTTGGATGCATGGTCTTTAGCCACTGTTTGACATACGTTACAGTATCGCAAGCATATCCATTCACTATCATAACACTGTTCTCAACTTCTCCCACAAGTAGCATTCTCAGAAACGTATTATACACGTGTCTTTTTTATTTCCCTGAGGATTAAGACCTCTCTTTATTTTTTAAATAAAATTGTATATATTTAAGATGCACAACATGATGAGATTATATACATATACATAGTAAAATGACTACTATAGTCTGGGTAATTAACATATTATCTCCTCACAGAGCTACCATTTTTGTGTGTGTGTGTGGTGAGAGCATCTGAAATCAACTCTCAGCAAATTTCCAGTATTCAATACCATATTATTAACTACAGTCATCATGCTGTACATTAGATCTCTAGGTTTAGTCATCCTACATAACAGCAACAATACAGCTCATCAATTTCTACCCATCATTCTGTGGAGAAGAAAGGAAGCAGTGATGGCAGATAATGAATCACAAGAATAAAAATCGGCTTTCCACTCTTGTGGTTGCTTGTTTTTATTTCTCTTTTTCCCCCAAGCTCCCATCTCCTAACCTTTCTAAAGTTTAAAATAGTCTGACCACTAACACTTTGCACATGCACCAAATTCAAAGAAGGAATTCAATACAAATTGTATTCTTACTTCCCAATGACATTTTAATTAATTTCTAAAGAGTCTAAAGTCCCTTTGCACCTGATTATGATGACATTTCTAGCACACCTGCCCCTGAATATGCATTTTAACTCAGTAAAAGAGCATGTAAAGATCTAGTTGTGAGGGGGAGATATCATAGAATAACTAAAGGGGAAAAAAGCAATTAAGGCGGCCACATTTGACATCACTGAATTCCAGCTTAATGGAAAAATGAAAATTTGGACTAAAGAGCCAGAGGTTGTTTTTTAAAATTGTTATATACACATTTCCAATTCTGAGGCATGCATTTGCCACAACACCTGGCAAACATCATGAAAACCTTCTAACCATTAATGCCTGAGAGAGCAAAAAAGAAAAGAGAAATTCCAAAATAGAAAACACCTGTACATTCTATACATGTTTTAAGGGTAGAAGGAAGAGAGAGCATTGTTCTCGATAGACACTGATCAGTTTAACATGGATTCCTGGAAAGATATTAGAACTAAACAATCTGAAACCACTTAAAAGAAGAACCAATTTTATTAGGTCAAATTTAATTTTCTAGTAAAACACAGAGAACCAATCAGGTAAAAAAAAAGCAGAAAATATACCTGGGAATCATATATTGAATTCAGTTAGTAATATGTTGTTGATTTAAAACACACACATACACACCCCTGAAAACATGACTAGGGTATACACAAAGGAACCCAACATGCAAGGGCCAGGAAATAGCATATAAAGCATCCAGTTTGGGTAGTTGTCTTACTTTTCCAAATATAAATAAATAAAAAAAAGTAGAAAACCCAGTAGCAATATATGATACAGTATAAACACTAGAAGAAGAGTTAGGAGATCTGAGTTCCCCAGTTCTAGCTCTGACATTTAAGCAAGTCTCTTTAACTACTCTGGGCCTCACTTTCCTCACCTTTAAAGGGAAGATGTACAGGATCTAAAATACCTGCCAAGTCTGAATTTGGGTGAGAGTAGGTTAAAATTTTCTTCTCAAATAAAAAGAATACTGGCCAGATGTTATTTCTAAGAACCCCACCTCCATTCCCATTCCAAATGAACTTGGAACAGGAAAGGAACCATTTGTACAAAAGAAAGAGCATCTTGACTGTTCAAGTCACAGGCGCTGGAATGGAGACAGCATCAACAGGGACTTGTCATAGATAAGTGAACCTGAAGGCAACAAAGTAGTCCAAGTGATGTCTTAAGGTGCCTTCCAGCAACATGATTTAAATTATTATCTAAGCTTCTTAAGAAAAATACTAAAAAAATGGCTCCAATGTATTTTGTGACAAGAGTCTACACATTTTATTCATAAATACGGGGGTGCAAAAAAAAAGTATACAAGTAGACACTTTACGCAACGTTGCTCAAGCAGTAGTTCGCTGTAATCAGAAGTGTCTGTATGCTGATGGTATCCACTTCGAGCACCTCTTGTAATTGCAGAAGCCAAACGTGACTTGCATTCATCTTTTGTTATTAGTATATATTGAGTGTTACAATTTTAATACAGTTTTCCTTTCTTAAAATGTGTATACATTTTTTGGGACCCTCTATATATGTGATAACTAGCCATTTTCAGCATATGCACACAGAAACTTGGTTCATAAGGTAGTATGAATGTAACAAAGGCCCGTTTTGGTTTTCCAAAGAGAATAGTAAAAATAAAGAACTGCAACTGATTTCAATGAACAATCTAATTCAAAACCTGGAAGTCAAAACCAACAGCAAACTGATGACAAATGTATCCCCGTAACATACCAAATTTGCCACTGAGTGCCACATTTAATAAAATGTCAATTTCTTTTGGAGTTAACCCGTTCTTCCAAGCCACATTTTCCACAGTTTTCAAGTGTTTTTCCAAGGTTTCATCTTTACTCCGTGAAGTTTTAAAGGGACCTGGAAAAAGGAACCATATTAAACAGTGGGACCTCTAAAATTCTTTTAGTCCTCAGCCTCAATAATTACACCTCGGGATACTTTAAGGAAATAGCTTTGTGTATAAAATGTCTTCCTAAAAATTCTTCAAAGCCTTTAAAACTCTAGAATATTTAACAGCAATAGCACCTTCAGGGAGGAAAACTGAACCATGCCCTGGTATCTCTGCTCTCTAAACTAACTAGCACTGAACTTAAGACTATAAGCTGTTTCACGACTAGGAAAGTGGTTCTCAAACTTTGCTGCAAACGGGAATCACCTTGGGAGCCTTTAAAAAAATCCCGATGCCCAGGTTGCATCCCATTCCAAAAAAATCAGATCGTTTAAGAGTGGATGTCAGGCATCAGTGTTTCCTAAAGATCCTCCGTTAATCCCAATGTGCAGCAGTTTGGAAACTGCTCTGTCAGGAACGTGCTTTGCTGTTGTGGCCCCAGTACCTAGCATACTGATATGTATTAAGAGTCAATAAGTCTCTATTAAATAAACAAAAGCATGAGTGAGCAAAAATATGCTTTCCCTTAAAATTCCTTAAGAAAAAAGTCTACAATATGTTGACAGAAATAGGATTTTCATAAGGAAAACAATCGTACCTTTCTCAAAGAACCTCAATGCTACTTGTAGAGCATCTTCTTCTTGATCATCGGCATGTTCGTCATCTTCCACTAAATTGTTGTGTCTATGTCTTGAGATGCTCTTTGAGTTGCTTAGGTCCTCTTTTAGTTTCCAGGCCAAGAGATTAGTCTGATAACTATTACTACCTTGTGAAGTTCTCTTTGGTGTCTGAAAGTTCTTAACTTTCTTTTGAGGTGACATTACTGCATATGTTCTATACAGAAACAAGTGTCAAGTTACCATTAATCAGCCAAACTGTCCCTTTTTGCTCCACAAAGACAGAGACCATATCAGCCTATATTCCCAACATTTAGGATACAGTACCTAGCATAAAATAAATACACAATAACAATAATAATAATGATAACTGACAACAATATAGGCAACAAAATGTATAAGTTAACATTCTCAGAAAGCTCTGGACCTAAATAGGAATAGAGAAAAACAACTCTCCAAGGTAACAGTCACCAACTGAACTGGCCTTCTTGTAGAAAAAAAAAAAGAAAAGCAGTAAGAGTACAGGTAACAAAGCAAGTTCTCTTAAGATGACTAGATCACAAAAACAAGTCTAAAACTAAGCCATCTCATGAACTCAATCTTACTTTATCCAATCACTCCTATTTTTCTCCACCCCTCCTTGATTTTGCTTTCATATTTTATGTTCCCTACTTTGTCAGTGCTAAGTTAAAACTGCATAGTTCAAAAGTCAAACTGGTGGGCAAACTAAGGATTCTCAGAATAGAAACGTTCCTTATTAATTCACTTATTCAATAAATAATTATTGAACATCATCTATATGCCAAGTACAGTTCTAGTCACCAGGGATAAGATAATAGACAGTCAAAGTCTTTACTCTCATGAAACTTATGGGGGTGGCAGGAGTGTGAGAGTCAATAAACAAGTAAATAATATTGGGTCGTTGGGAAAGCCATGACTCATTTTTGCATTGAAAAACATAGAAAAATACGTCATGACTTTCCTGACGGCCCAATAGTGAACATAATACACAGTGATGTTATGGAAACGGGGTAGGAGTTGAGGAGATACTTTGGAATAAGTGTTCAGAGAAAGCCTCTCTGATTGACCGTTAAACTGACATTTACATGCCAAGAAAGAACCAGCTTTGTGAAGATCTGGTGGAAGAGTATTTCATGAAGAGGGAAGAGCAAGACTTGCCAAGACCTTAAAGCAAGAGTTGTGTTTGTTAGAGAAACAGCAACACCAGTGGGGGGAGGGAGAGTTAGTGACATGAAAAAGGTAGAGGGTAGTGGGAGATGAAGTCAGAAAGGCAGCCACGGAGGACCATTTTGGGACTTGAAGGCCAGAGTAAAGAGTTTGGATTTCAAGTGTTATGGCAACTATGGGGGGAGAGATTGGTGTTAGACAGAGACGTGATACCATCTGATTTATGTTTTAAGACCATTTTAGCTGCAGTGTGGAGAATAGAATGTTAGTGGTCAAGGAGTGCAAACAGATTAAAACAGTCTTGCAGAAGTCCAAAGAGATATAACTGCAGTCTGAACTAAGCCTAAGGTACAGCAGTGGAAGAGGTAGAAAGTAATTGCATTCATGATAAGCTTTGGAGACAGACTTGGGAAAGCCATGAAAAATACTGGATGTAGGGAAAAGGAAAAAGAGGAACACAGAAGGACTTCTAAGTTTTTTGGCTTCTAATGGGAAAAACTAAGGGAGTGGTCAGAATGACACTCAATCCCACCTCCCTAGAACAGATGAGGCCAGAGCAGGAAAGGAGTGTGTGTGTCTAACCCAATGGGAGGTTCCAGGTTCTGAATTGTTTCCTAAGCTCCTATGAAAGGACAGGCGAGCAGCTTTTGACCCCATCCGATTGACCGGTCCCATAGCTTCCCAAGAACACTCCCCCCCCCCAGACAGACACAAAATTTTTACAGCCTGCCCCAGCAGGGAACGAACTTGGCCACAACTGACCCACTGGGCAGATTCCTGGGCTAGGGGAAAACCCGACCCCAGCCACATCTTGCAGGATAGTCCTGCTGAGAAGTCAGGAGATGCCCTTTACTCTCGGGGGCCCCGTTTCGCGCGGCATTTTAAAAGTACGTCACCTAATACGCTTCTCTGTCTCCAAACCTCCGGAGTCCAGCCATCTCCAAGATTCAAATGAACGTGTGCCGCCCTGCGCATGCGCTTCCGCGGAGACCCAGGCAGCGGCCAGGCGGAGACGCGCGCTTTGCTGTAACCTGATTGGTTGGGTTACAGCTCAACGGCGCAAGGCGGCGCGCGCGCCGAAATTGACGTAAACCCAATTCGAGGTTGCCATTGGCCCCACCCGCCGGGGCCCGGGGACGCGCGGCAAGTGGGCCGTTGCTGCCTGAGTCCACTGATTGGCTGGCGTTCCCACTGTCCTAGTAATGTTTACATTCGTCATTTTGCGTAAAACAGAGCAGTGTCTGGATTCTTGAATTTAACGAGATTAATTATAGTGATCATTTTGCCCAGATTGACCCCCCAATGTCGGAACTTTGAATCTGTAGGAAACTATGAAACTACAATACAACCTTCACAATACAAACTGTCTCTCCCATGCTGGGCAACAGGCTTAGGTTAAAAGGGCCTGTGACCTCTAAAGCTGTCATTTTCCCCATGTGAAACTAGGAGGTGGGAGGAAAGAAAGGCTGGATCTGCCCTCCAATTACCGAGGATGGGCAAATACCGATATCTTCCAGGGTTTGCTAGAAACATGTGTCCTTAGCCAGATGTGGCACCTTGCAAGAAACCAGCCAGTCGACACGTAAAGATTCCTAACTTTGAAGAATCGATAGACCTTAAAGAAATTGGCTAAACCAGCAACGAGGGCTAAGTGTGATACCTGAGCTTAGTCCCTAGCTTAATCTCTTACTAGAGTAGAAATCAGAGAGGAAAGATACAAATTTAACAGCTCGCTGATTTTTTTTTGAGGCCAAAACATTCCTATAAGCTGTAGGCAAAACTGTAGTTGGAAATTTTGCTACCTTAAGGAAAGATGAAGAATCAAAGATTAAGTTGTTGTATTTGGGAAAGACTGCAGCAGAAATGACTATTTACCACGTTATGTATTTCTATGGTTTCAGAGCACTTTCATGAACTCTTGTTTAATTATGCATGAGAATTGAGTGTTCAATATTTTCTGTAGCTGCTCTTCCTTATCTAGTAAAACAGCATTTCTCAAAATTCATTTTTATACTTTTAGTTATCTCATAGATTCAAATGTATATTGGAAGGAATTTTAAGCCTCCAATCCCCTACTTTTTTTGTAGATGATGAAACTGGGGCCTTGAGTGGTGAAATAACTTGCCTAATGTGACAAATCTGGGGCACTGGAACTTGTGCCACTTTGTGGACACATATAGTGACAGACACTGGTACACCTTTATTTAATACATCTGCAATTTTCCCTGAAATAATTATTCCATCTTCCCTTGGCATCACCTAATGAAGCAGAATTCCTAAACCTGGAAATTGTACTGGGAGCGTAATTCTAGGCTTTCTACCTTATGTGCTGACATCACAGAACTGTGGGGGAATTTAAATGAGATTGGAAAGTTGGTAGCCTCATTAGTATATTAAGTGATTATACTCCCCCTTCTCTTTCTTCTTCTCCCTTATCAAGACTAAAAATGAAACAAAGGAGCCTGAATCTCTTGATATGACCCTTGCTTTCCAGATTTTCATTATTTGTCCAGACAGTTTCCTCCAAATTTCAAGATTTTTTTTATTTTGAAAGAATGAGAGAAATAAAACAGAGAGGTATCAATTAACAAGAACAATGACATTGAAGAAAATACAATAATTTGTACTCCCCCACACACAACACCCCCCACCCCTTTTCCTATCCCTGGCACAATAATATTAAAACCATCAAAGCACATCTAGCAAGGAGAAACAGCAATATGTAATGAAGAAAGCAAATTTTCATACTGCTCAATCCAACTAACTCATATCAACTGTCCTTCCCCCAGCTAAACTCTACCCACAGGAATGATAAAGAAGTGTAGAGGAGACAACTTTTGGGGGTAACCTGGATCTCTGTTTACAATAACAAAGTTCAGTGATGATTCAATTGGAGTAGTGAATCTATTTGGCAGGGAAACACTGGGTACAGCTCCTCTGTCAAATTTCAGATGATTTAAGAGAACAGCTAGAGTTTGAGATTCACAGACTCCTAACAGGACTAATCCCTGCTCCCTCAACCACAGCAGTGGAGAAGCTGCCAAATCCTGGTTAGCTGCTGAGAACAGTGGAAGTGAGGCAGCTTTGGTTTAAGAAAATCCGAAAAAGGTGTCTGGGTAACAAGTTCACTGCTTCAGTTTCAAACAGTCAATAAAGGAGCGTAACGTGGTGTCTCAAATGGAAAGAACTTTTTCCTAAAGTGGTAGGTTTAAGTTTTCAGCTTAATCTTTTGAGGGATTCCCCTATCCTATGGGAACACGTCCGTCACTTGTTTAATACCAAAAGTAGGATTCTTTTTATAGGAAGTTTATTTTATTCTGTCTTCACTAGAATCAGTCTATAAAGGGAAGGATACCTATGAAGGATTAGTTGAAGATCAGAGCCTTCTCCTCCACATGTGCGTGCACACACACACAGTAAATACATTTTCCCACACATATAATCTCACAGTCACATGCTTGCTGGAGTCCATCTCAAAAAAACACTTCAATAGTTAGCCATATACATGTACATGCAGCAAGATGTGAGAGTTGCCCCAAAGTGATTAAAGGTGGTGCACATATGTCTATGTGGGGAGGTCATTTTAGAGTATAGGTGTACACAAGCCAATAGGGCCATTAACTTGCAGATTATACTTTCCCCTCTCCCCCAAGATAAATAAATCAAATGAAAAACACACACTGACATCTTTCTGGGTGTCATGGAGGCAACTGCCGGGAAGGTCCACTTTTTGCACTTCCGCTTTCCTATGACAACTTCATTTTGCCCTGAGGGGCCTTCTCATATAGGGAGGGCTGCTCCTCGCCTTTCCCTGCATTTCCCACCTTTACTGGGGGCGAGGGCTTCTTCTCAGAAGATCGGTCTTCGGGCTTGCGCGCAATCAGCAGGCGGCAGGTGAGCAGGATTCCAAACACCAGGGCATGGGCGTAGCGTTTGAGAGGATCACCGACTAGCTGGTGGAAGAAGAGCACAACCAACACCAGCAAGAGCAGGAAGAAGTTGGCCACATCTTTGGGACGTCCAGGCACAAGGGTCATGACAATGCCACAGGCCACCTCAAGAGTCCCAATGCTTTTGCGAAGGAGAATGGAATTGATCCCCATTTTCTTCAGCAGAGGAAGGGCTCGGACATACGTCTTGTAAGCACGTTTCTAGAGTGGAATACCATAAGGAAATCACTGCATTAAGTATGACTTTAATATTAGAATGAATAAAACACAAGCAAGGGCCTCCTTCCCCACGATTCTCTTTCCACACCAGCCAAAAGGGTGTCCCATTTTCTACTGTGTCCCCTAAATGGAAGCCTTGTAATTAAGAAAAAAGCAAGCAATCTGCTAAGAGCCCTGTGATTTAAACCTTATCACTCAGCACCAAAGATAAGAGAATTTGGTTTTATAGTTTAAATTTTTTTTTATTATGAATCATAAACAACATTAAAAATTTTAAAGAAAATTTATCAGGCCCTTAAAAACTGGTACAGATTACCCACATCCACATTTTCTAGTGCCTGCCTTGTCCAAACCCAGGTGCATATGAATACCAACAAAAATGAAACAAGGCAAGGCACAGTATGGTATAAAGCCTCACTAATTTGGACTTCCCTAATTTGAAATGCATGATAGTTCAGAAACTTCAGCTGAGCTGGAGTTTATATTTATGGAATTAATTTTTTTAAAGTGTGTACTAAGCAAATAGAAAGTTAAAAATGTATGCAAATGTTAGCCCCTTATATATCTTTAAAATATAGTAAGACAAAAATCATTCTCATGGTCATTGAGATAAATCCCAAAACCATTACAAGACACTACTTTGATTAGCCTGGCTTGAGTTCATTAATTTTAATTCAACAAATATTTATTGAACACCTACTATGGATTATTCGATGGAGATATACAGATGAATAAGACAGGGTCAAGAAGCTCTTGGTCTAGTGGGGGGAAACAGATACATAAACATCATTATAAAGCAGCATGGTTAGTGGTATATAATAGAGGTCTGTACAATGTCCAATTGTAGCCCAAAGGGAGACATCATAAGACAGAAGAGGGAGTCACTGGATATATTACAAAGTAATAGAATTATGTTGACCTTAGAGTAATAGATTGTCATGTTTTTCACTATTCAGAGTGGCCTGATTCTCATTTTGCAGTAAATTGATAAGATTTTATCAAGTGTCTTATTGGGTTGGCCCACCACTTTGTTTTCATTAAGTATCCATTAATTCATTCAATATTTTTTAAGTGTCTCCTGATGCTAGGCCCTGTACTAGGTACTCTGGTTACAGATATCAATTATTCAAAGGCTTTGCCTTCCTGAGCGTTGACTTAATAAAAGGAAGAACAGCTATGCAAATACATAAGTGCAATCAAGTATTATGAATGCTGAACAAAATTATGTAGTGGGTATAGTGGAGACACACCAGAGGGCATGGTCAAGTCTCTCTAGATGGGGACTGAGAAAAGCTAGAGTAGAATCTTAAAAGAAGAGCAGGTGTTTGCAAGATCAATAAGGGAAGAGCATTGCAGACAGAGGAAGTTGGATAAGCAAATGCCCTGAAAAACAAAACAGACTGGTGTGTTGTGAACACTGCTCCAGTTCAGCATAGGTTGGGGGAAGGAGGAGAGGGAGGGAACACATGAGACAGGGGAGATAGATATGAATCAGATCATGGAGAATTATATATGTTGTGTTGTGGAGCTGGACTTTACCCCATAATCCGGGGGCAGCAACATAATTTACTTTTAAGGAAGCTCCTGGAAATAATATGGAGGATGGATCGGAAGAGGTATGCCTGGAAGCAGGGAGACCAGGCGAGAGACCTGGACTAGAGTAATGACAGTAAGGATAGAGGGAAGGGGACAGATTCAAAGATACTTTGAATGCAAAATCAACAGAATTTGATGTCTTATTGGATGTGGACACTGAGGGAAAGAAAGAAGTCAAGAAAGATTCTCTGGTCTCTGGCTTGGGTGCCTGGATGAAAAGTTGGGAATGCACATTGAGGAACAGGTTGGGGTGGCAGAGGGCAGGAAGGAGGGAGGAACTCAATTTGGGGTTTTCTGAGTTGAAGTACCTCTAAGATATCTAATTGGGGATGTCTGGTAGGCAATCAGTAAGAGAGGTCTGGGGTAAAGATACAGAATTGATACTCATCAATGTGCCCAGGAAGAATGTATACAGTGGAAAAAATTGAGTAACAGACATTTAAGAAATGGGTAGAGGAAGCAAGTCCACAAAGTAGACAGAAGAAAGTGCGGTCAGAAAAGTAGGAGGAGAACCTGAAGAGACAGGGTGATGGGGACCAAGAGGCATTTTAAGAAGAGAATACCCAGAAGTGGAATTGCTGGGTCATAAGGTAGTTCTATATTTAATTTTTTGAAGAACCCCCCTACTGTTTTCCATAGTGGCTGAACAAATTTACATTTCCACCAACAGTAAACAAGGGTTCCCTATCCCTTTCCCCCACATCCTCACCAACAAAACAAAAACATTAGTTTGAAAAGATATATACATGCCTATGCTCACTTACAATAGCCAAGATATGGAAGCAACCTATGATTCCATCAATAGATGAATAGATAAAGAAGATGTGATTCACACACACACACACACACAAATATTACTCAGCAATAAAAAAAGAATGAAATCTTGCCATTTGTCACAGCATGAATGGACCTAGAGGGTATTATGTTAAGTGAAATAAGTCAGACAACGACGAATACCATGTGATCTCACTTATATGTGGCACAGAAACAATCTCATAGATACAGAGAACAAACTGATGGTTGCCAGAGGGGAGGAGGATGCGGGGATGGATGAAAAAGGTGAAGAGAAATAAGAGATACAAGCTTCCAGTTATAAAGTAAATAAGCCATAGGGATATAGTGCATAGAGCAGGGAATATAGTCAATAATATCGTTAATAACTTTGTACAGTGACAGATGGTTACTACACTTACCGTGGTGATCACATTGTAACGTATATAAATGTAGAATCACTGTGTTGTACACATGAAACTAATATAATATTGTATGCCAACTATACTTTAATATATTTTTTAATTAAAATAGAAAAAAAAGAAGAAAATAGTCAAAAGTGCCAGATGCAAGAGAAGTATTATAAGAATTGGGCAGAAAGCCAACTTGACCTCTCAGCAGCATCTGGCACTTAGAATAGTGTTCACACTCTCTAGGTTTGGAACAAATGTTAAGCCATTTCCCTCGCTTCTGGACAAGTGAATGCACCTTTATTTCATCGACTAATTATCATGAGTGGCACAGATAATCCTCTGTGAGGGCTGTTAGAAGACTGATGGTTTAGTGAAAATGCATGGGTTTGGATTGAAACAGACTTGCTTTCAAATCCCATCTCTGCCACTTTCTAGTTGAATGTCCATGGGTAAATTATTTAACCTCCCTTAGCTTCATTTTCCTGAGCAGGGATGAAACTAAGGTGAAGTGAATGAGGCTATTTGCTTTGAGTACAAAATGTAAGAGGGAAAAAATACTCATTGATCAAGGTAAATGATATCCATGACGAACAAAATGTCAAAATTTTAAATAAAGGCAGGATCTGACTGCACTTCCACAACCTTGCCTCACTCACCTCTTCTAAACTCTTCCCTGTCAGATCCTGTTTTTATTTAAAATTTCACCGCACTCTACTCTTTACCCTGTTCCTGAGCATATAAGGAAATACAAAATGTAAGTTGTTCTACTTCCCTCTTCCCATTTTTGGTTAAATTAGGGATTTTCAGAGAGAAAGTAGGAGAGAAGTTGACCAGTAGGCAGAGTAAAACCCTGAGCTGAAGAATAGAGCCAGACCCACATGGAGCAGAGCAGAGCTCAGGGTTAGGTCACCTGGTAGTGGGGAGAAGCCTGCTGGTTTCCTCTCACTATTAACCTAGATGCCACTTGCTCACTCTCTCCCACTCTGCATGCTGGTTATGGTAGCAGGGGGACATTAGGGAAAGAAATTTAGACCCAAGAGGCTTACTTAACACTGTTAAGTAAGGACTATTTCTAATTAGTAACACAAAGCTTCCCAAGAGGCAATTCCTAAATCCTAAGTGTAAGCTTCTGACATGATGAACACAGGATGGAAGAAGAGTATCTTACAGTCATTTTGGAACCAAGCCTTCCAGATGCTGGCTGAGTGGCTTCTGGAAAATGTTCCTTTTTTGTCTAGGGCTAACCACCGATCATTCAAGAATAGATTCTGATCTATACTATAGTGGAATCTGTAGTCTGGGGCCAAATTCCAGGTCTTTAAATCAAGTTCCTATGACTTCAGTGATCCTTTTTCTCTCCATTCGGTTTAACTCCATGTTACTTTTTCAGTTGTTTATCTAACCTCTTAAACTGCAGCTGCGGATATTTTTATGCAGCTGTTGCCACTTTCTTCCCTCCTTTTTTCAAGAGAAACTGCATGTGGATAAGCCATCAAATCTTAATTCAAAGCTGAGTAGGTACAGATAGCATCTGTTCTCCAGGACTCCAGATAGAGAATGTTTAATTTGTTAGAGATAGGACTAAGCTTAGTGGGGTCTTGACATCACAGGAAGCCCTTTATTCTTTCTTCTGTAGAATAGGATGGAGACATCAAAAGAATCCTACTATTGCCAATCTCATCAATGTTTGGTCCTGGCCGCCTCGGTTTTAATAATAGTAATGTCACATATCTTGCATCTATAGTAACAAGATCTCTAAAAACTAATTGTTCTGATAGTAAGAATAAAGAGAGTTGACTGAATCACTCTCCCAAAAGGCTCTTGCTATTCACTTTGTTAGGTCTGTTTGCTTTCTATTGCAATGACCCAGGCCCTGTAACCATAGCTTTCTTTTAGGGAAAGGAAGCAGGAAAGGGAATGTTCCAAATCCCTTCAATCAAAGGCAATCATCCAGCAATAAATATCCTTGGGCTAGGATTCTTAAGATAAGCTAAATTCCAATTTTAGTTTTGTCCCTAAATTGCTTGGAGAGAATTACTAAGCATTTCATTACCTCGGTTTCCCCTTTTGTAAATTAAATGAGCATTTTGGAGATTTAGTAAAAAAATCATAGCACCATAGCATCAGCATGCACACACATTTTATCATTAATGAGCTACATGATTAGAAAGCCATACGTTTGCAAGCCACAGTAATTATTTT